CATTTATTTTTCTTCGTTATAGTAACTATATATATATATATTTTTTTTTTATTTGAATTATGTGTCATTCATTTCTTTCTTTCCAAAAATGTATCTACTTTTTTATTATTTTTGTTTCTCTGAAACTATGCGTAATGTAGAGATTTCCAACAATATCGTTGCTTTCCATCATGGGATCGGCGCGGCGCTGGGGACGTTTATCCTTGCTAAATTACCAAAGACATTGAATCACGTAGACCGTGCATCCTGTGTTACGGAAGGCGAAGCAACGTTCAAAAATTCGCACGTCATGAGTGGTGGCACCGACCCGCATCGATGAGTTCGTGTGTTCCAGTTGCGCACATCTGCGCATGCGCAGTAGCGGCTCCAGTGAATTTTTGTCGGATTGTGAGGCTTTTTTCCTCGGTTAATAATTAGTTCGGAAAAATGAAACAATGCTAATCGGGTGTAAAACTATGTTTTCTTTAACTTTTCTTCTTAGGAATTTTGTCTGAAAATGGACTCTGAACGAGATATTCGTGAAAAACCGAGCACGGGCATGAAATCCCCATTGCCTCTCTGCAGTCTCTTCGAGTGCTTGGGATATACGCTCTCTCCCCTTCCCCGCTCGCCCATCATGGGGATCCGAGAGACTTGCTTCGCTCCGCCAGTACTAAACCGAGCCGGACGCAAGGTCTACGTGATTCAATGTCTTTGTAAATTGAATCGGCTCGTGCGAAAACCGCTAATGTCCATTTTTTTCAATTTTGAGATTTTTGGGTTAAAATACTCTCGGAGGTCAGACACACTCATTAATGTGGTGAAAATGTTTGTTCCTTGGGTTTGGACCCCTTTTCAGGGGGGGCCGTGGTCCGAATCATGCGAAAACCGCTAATGTCCATCCTCCGATATATGCCTCATAAAACAGTACAACACACCAAAAGAAAAAAGTGTCTCCTGGACGACATAAGGTGATCATAATGTATTTTGAGGCGCTGAATCCGAATATGACCTCCGTTTTATTCCATCACCCTCCGATTTTCCGGAAAACCCGATTTTACTCGGAAAAATGGCCATTTTTGGGCATTTTCGGTGCTTTTCCTACTGTTATCCCTTGCAGAATGTAGGTAAAACTTTTCATAGCTACGAGATTCACGTTTGCCGATGTCTTTTTGACTGACAAATCCGGAAATGACCTTAATTTTTCCCGTTCACCTCTCAGTTTTCCGGGAAAGCAACTTTTTCCCGGGAAAATAAGCAAATTCGACGTATATATGTCGTGCATGAAATTTATTTTTAAAATTTTCCTGGACGCGTGATAGTATGTTGCCTCTGTATTTTGAGCTGCTGAATCCAAATATGACCTTGGTTTCTTTCTATCACACTTCAGATTTCCGGTAAAGCCGATTTTTCCGAGCCTAAAATTGTGTAACGTAAAAGCTTCGCCGGACTCAAAGTGTATCCGAAATTCATTTTAAAAATGTCTCCGATGTGTGATACATCGATTCCTTTGTGTATTGAACTGTTGAATTCAAAAAAGATCTCAGATTTTTCCGCTCACCCATCATTTTTCCGGAAAAGTCGCTTTTCCTAAAAAATCGCTCTTTTCGGGTATTTTTGCGGGATGATTTTCCTGCTCTGAGGAGTTTCAGAAATTTTCCGAGATCCTTTTTTGGTCTCTCTTGCTGTATTAAGAAGCACTGAACTCGAATTTGACCTTCACTCATCTTTGACCTTCACTCATCTTTGACAAGCCCCCGTTTTCGAGAAGGTCCGATTTTCCGGACTCTTGGCCCGGTTTTTCCCGGCCGAAAGCTTTTCCGGACTGTTCCCTCTTCTAGGGAAATTCAAAACATTTTCCGCATGTGTGATTCATCGTTTTACATGTAACTTGAGCTGAAAACCCCAAATATGACCTTAGAAATTCGATATCACCCACTGGAGAATTTCTGAAACTCCTCAGAGCAGGAAAATCATCCCGCAAAAATACCCGAAAAGAGCGTTTTCTTAGGAAACGCGACTTTTCCGGAAAATCGGAGGGTGATGGAAAAAAACGGAGGTCATATTCGGATTCAGCGCCTCAAAACACGTTAGGGTGACCTTATTTAGCCCGGTAGGCATACTTAAACATATGGGTCATTCCACGCCTAGGTAGTCCGGAGGGTATTCCCCCCCCCCTTCCAAATGACCCAACAATATTTATTTTTGGACTCCTTAATACTCCTAGTTTTTGGAAATATATGGGGTTTACATCCGTCTTGTTTTTTCCCCGCAATTTTCACGTGTTTTGTAACCCCATTGGTTAGCTTCATCCTACTGTAAAAAGAGTGACAGTTTGGTAGCAATATTTTCTGGTGTTCCTGCCAAAACCAAGTTTCAGTTTATGTTTGCAGTTGTCAAGAAACTGATTCAATGTGCTCCTGCAAAGTTTCAATTTTTAAAAGTAATTACTGTGTATTATATGTAACTTTTAAAACTTAGTGTACTGACTGTCACACCCGTTACGCAAAACATGGGTTTTTTAATGTAACTATTTTAATTCATGTTATTTTGAGATGCTAATTTTTTCTGTACGTCTTCAAGTCAAGTACAGCTTTGGAGTATTTTTTCCAAATTTTTATTTCAACAATTGATAGGCAAAACCGCGTTACGGGTGTGACACGTTACGGGTGTGACCAATGAGAAGAGGCTTCAATTATGCAGATGTTGCCTCACCTCTCACCATTTTTTCTATGGTTATCACAAGAAATACACTCATTTGCACAATTAGAGGTATGTATACATCTAATAAGAGAGAGATAGCCAACTTTTTTGCCATATTTCAGTATTTAAAGTGAATACATCTATCTCAAAAGGACTTCAAATAGAACTCGTTGAACTCTCTCCGATTGGATTGAAATATTTTCTCTTTACTATAGGCCTAGACCTACCAGGCCGTACCAGGATTTTTTTTTTTTTTTTGGGTAATTTGGATCATGCGAGGTCCAGGACCGCGGGGACGAAAGGGGAATCCTGGGCTACCCGAAGAAAAGCCCTGGGACGGTAGGTCTGGGCCACCCTGTAGAAAAATGTAGTTTTGGCATGTTCTACATTAAAATGCGTCAAATTGCTGATTGATTTACTGCTTAGGATTGCCTACAATAAGAGTATGAAAAGAAAGGTAAGTTTTTTAACTTTTAATTTCTCTCAGAAATGATGGACCTCAGAGAGACAATCTGTCACACCCGTTACGTCACATCCGTAACGCCAACAGTAGGTCTGGGCCACCTTGTAGAAAAATGTAGTTTTGGCATGTTCTACATTAAAATGCGTCAAATTGCTGATTGATTTACTGCTTAGGATTGCCTGTAATAAGAGTGTGAGAAGAAAAGTAAGTTTTTTAACTTTTAAACTCTCTCAGAAATGATGGACCTCAGAGAGACAGTCTGTCACACCCGTTACGTCACACCCGTTACGCAATCTCTCCCATTTTTCAAGGAAAGAAAAAAAAGATAATCGAAAACGGATCATCGGCAGACGAAACAAAAACCCTTGGCTTCATCATATAATTTAATCAGATTTTTAAATTCATAAAATTCGCTGAGTTTCCACTTTACACTCACTGAGGAAAAACTCACTTCCAAAATCGGTCACGCCCGTTACGCAGCCTTATAATTTTTTCCTGAGGAATGGAACAAAGTAAAAACAATTTCTGATAAACTAAAATGATCTATAAAAAAGTTCTTTCTGCTACTGCAGATAATTTTTTAATTAAACCCCAAGAAAGAGTTCAAATTCTTGTTTAAAGTTAAATTGTTGTCACACCCGTTACAATGGAACGACCCATATGCGTTTTTGATGTTTTAGAACCGTTCGCGCACAAATCATGCGAAAACCGCTAATGTCCAGTTTATTGCTCGTAGTTTCTTGACGAAACTTGCTTTAAGTGCCGCAATTGTCAAGAATTTCAGTTTTTCAACTTTATTTGAATAATAATCTACCGTTTTAATATCTTTAGAATGAATTTTGATAGTATCAAACGGCTCCAAAACTCGGAGATTTTCAGGAATCATGCGAAAACCGCTAATGTCCAGAGTCTTTTCTTTTTAATTATTCCGTCCCAGACGGAGAAGGAGCTACAAACTGTTAGGGATTCCTTTCTACAATCCTCTCCTGTAATAATTAACTTCTGAAATTTTTTTAAATTCGCATTTAAAAGGCTTCTACAGTTTTTTGCAGTCCTCTCAAAATTAGAGAAAATGGACGTAAGCGGTTTTCGCATGAGCCGATTCAATTACCCTCGATTAACACGCGAGCCTCCGGAGCTCCGCGGCAGCGGCACTCGGGCGATCACGGGAGTTAAGCAAAGTCGGGCGTAGTTAGCACTCAGATGGGAGAGCGCTTGGGAATGATCGCGTTGCGGAGATTTGCAAAATGGCCAAGAATTCCTTTCATGTTTGAAACATGCCATGGCCATAGTGCGAAGTAATTTTCGTGTTTAATTCTTAATCCTTTTCTTCTATGGTTCTGCTAGGAGAGCCGGCATTTTGGGCACAGATTAGGGAGCTTCCCATGGGACCTACTTCCTATGGGAGCCACTTCTCATGAGAGCCACTTCCCATGGGAGCCACTTCCCATGGGAGCCACTTCCCATGGGAGCCACTTCCCATGGGAGCCACTCCTCAGGGGAATTATTCTCCTGCCCAAAACATCCTGAGTGAAATTCCTATGTGAAATATTTAGCGAATGGTGGTAGCAGCTCGCCGCCACCACATCGTGCCTTTATTCCAATTAACCAAGTGCCATAATTCGCTGGACAGAGTGCGAGGAGACGCTCCAACTTCCCACACAAAATGATGGTTTTGTCTGGGAATGAGGCGTCTCCTCAGAAGAGTATAGTTGTCGTTTAATATAAGTCCCTTTTGCTCTTACTGTCTGAATGATGAAATTCTATTCCTGAATTTGTTTTGAATTCGCTTTGTTTCATTCAAGTTTCTTGGAATAAAGTTTACTCAATACTTCCTTGTTTTTTGTGCTTCTAGTTGAATCAGTCGATAAAAAGGCCAAAAATACTCCAAGTTCAAAAGTCCATAAAATACTCCAAGACAAGAAATTCTATTTGGATGTGAAGAACCATTCTGTCCTGAAAAAAACTGAAACTCGGCTAAGGGCACATGGTGCTGTAAGTAGTTTATCTTTATTATATATTTTCATAACTTTTCTTTCAATGATTCAAAAATAAAAAGGAAAATATCTTAAATTTTTACCCGGATAAAGAGGCGCCGGGAATGTGCAGGATGACTGAACAAGGAGAAATAAGTAGAATTATGATTTTTTTCCTTAAAAAATAAAAAAAATTGGAAAATTTTTTTTAAAAAACGAGGAAAAATCGTAGTTCTACTCTTAGGTCTTTGATTCATTTACACACCAGCAGGAAACCCCTACATTCGGTAATCACTGTGATCAGTGATCAGTTACAAAATTTTGTATCTGGATTTTTATTTAATTTTTCAAAATTGGCAAGTCGCAATGCTCTGATAAAAATGCAGAGATTAGTGGTATTAATTAATTATAGAATTTCTCTTGTAATAGGTATTTGCAAAGTATTAAATCATTATTTAACGGTCACTCTTTGTTAAAAACCTATAAATATTGGTAAAGTTCATGCGTGCCGATACTTGCCAGGTGATTTCAGCCATTATTCACTGATCAGTGAAACATACTATTGAGACGTTAATATCATCCTCACTTATAAAACTTTGTTAATATAGTTTTCATGTCACATTATTTTTTTTTTAAAAAAAAAAAAAACTCTGAATGTTGTGCAGCTATATAGCTGTTCTTGTCTTCCCACAATTTATGGCACATTTTTTTTTTGAGGGGGGGGGCAGAGGAGAGTCTATTAAGCATTACGTTTGTAATTAATAAGGGGGGAGGGGGGGTTGCGTTGCATAGTAGTGTCAATGGGCAGCGTCCGTTACAGTCGTTTCAGGTATTAAGGGGTACTTGCCCTATTCATTCACCAAACAATGCCCCATCACTTCCCAAAATTTCAAGCCCCCCAAAAATTTTGGGGGTGGGGTCAAAGTTTTTGCAACATTTTCGCGAATTTGTCGCTCAAAAACCGAGAAGTTTTAGAAAACGCGGTTGAAACAAGCGTTTCCAGCGTGACGAGAGCTTTCAGAATATGTATAACATCATAGGGTTTAGTCGACTTCAGCTCGAGTTATTGCCTCCGAAGCGGCGGAAAGCTAAAAGAAGACCCCATTTTTTTTCACGTCCGGGCCGATCTCAAAAAAAGCCATTTTTTCATTTCGATGAAAAACTGCTATGTTTTTCCAGACTCTCTGTAGCCCCTCTAGCTTCTTACCGCATGCTATGGAAATGTTTTGGTCACAAGTCATAAGAGCGGAAAGGAGCGAAGGTAGGGAAAATCGGCTAATTCAAACTGCGCGCGCGGCGTTGATCGGTAGGAAAACGTCCCATCCCACTCACAATCAGTTCTGCGAATCACACTCCTCGGCCGAACTCGCATTGTTGCCTTGTGTCGTCTGGTCCGTCGCCGCGCGCAGTACCCGATGACTTATGAAGATTGAAATAAAAATGGGAAGCTTTTCACATTAAACTCTTCAGAACGACCAAGAGGATCTAAAAACTTTCATGAGCCTGAATAGGTGGTGCATGGAAACGTGGAACAGAAGGATCCAATCGTCGGTTTAGTTAACTAGACCCTCTGCCAGGCATCGCTAGTGTCGCCGCTAACTGATGTTGGGGGTCCTTATTTATTCTCTTGGTCCATGGCGAATCCCAGAAGGTGCGTTGTTAAAAATAACTTTTGCCGCCCAACAAAAATGGCCGAATCTCAGCAGAGATGCGTTGTTAAAGTCCACAACTGCCCAACGAAAATTACCCGTTTTCCAAGATGGCTGCTCAGCAAACTGCCCAACAGCTCAGCGAGGTTTTTGGCAGCTGTCGACCGCTGCCGAGTTTGCTGAATTGTTGTTATGTTATTGTTTACATCCATAACCGCCATTTTTTCGCACTTCTTCGCCACATGTTCGTCACCAGACTGACTTGCAATTGTTTATAATCGTTTACTGCGTCAATTTCGTAATAATGTGGGTGTTAATAAGATTTTTAAATGTTTAAATTATTAAATTTCAATAAAACTTAACCTCCAAATCCGCAGAATCCGACGGGAATTTAACAACGACACCTCGATTTTCTCCCGTCTGTTAAGCTGACGTCGTCGTTAAGATGACGTCAATCCTGCTGAGATTCAGCCATTTTTGTTGGGCAGTAAAAGTAATTTAACAACGCACCTCTTGATTGACGTCATCTCAACGACGACGTTAGAACCCCTTTAGATGCGTTGTTAAAGTCCACAACTGCCCAACGAAAATTACCCGTTGAGTGTTGAGCTCAACGAAAGCGTTGGTAAATTCCAGTGGATTTACCCGTTTTCCAAGATGGCTGCTCAGCAAACTGCCCAACAGCTCAGCGAGGTTTCTGGCTGCTGCGGACTGCTGCCGAGTTCACTGGATTGTTATTCCGCCATTTTTTTCTCACTTTAACCTCACACCACGCAACACACTTTGCCGGTCGCCAGTCAGTCTAGGGAGAATTGCTTGTTTTATTTGTTCTTTCCTCTTCCTTCGCGAGTTCCGTTGTGCTCTGCTCTTTTTCTTTTTACGAAGATGTGGGTCCTCATTCGATTGAATGTCATTACTTTAAAAGTGGAACTGCCAGAGCAGTTTCCATGAGCATATTATCCTCTTCTTCGTCAATCATGTCAAACACTAAAATAATGCTTCACAGAAGATTGAGAAGATTCTTTCGAACGAAAAAAGCTTTGACTTTATCACCGGGCACATATGTCAAAAATTTCATTATCAATTTCACAACATCAACATAACCTCCAAATCATCTCAATCCAACGGGAATTTAACAACGGCACCAAGATTTTCTTCCGTCCGTTGAGCTGACGTCGTCGTTGAGATGACGTCAATCCTGCGGAGAGTCAGCCATTTTCGTTGGGCAGCAAAAGTAATTTAACAACGCACCTTTTATACTGAGAGTCAAGACAACACCCCTACATGGAGTCACGGACTGGAATAGAGTACCCTAGAGTACCTACAGAGTATGGCCATTTCTGTTCAGGTTATTCATTGGTCGCGTGAAAATAGGCTGACACGATAGACGCGTTGTTAAAGTCAGAAGTGCAACCTCTGAGTTATCCGCTGAATGGCTGAGCTCAGCCGAAGTGTTGTTATTAAACGTTTTCTAAGTTATCCGCTGAGGTAAGCAAAGACCGCCATCTTCTCAGCAAAATGACGCAGCGCTCAGCCTGCTTCCCAGGGCGCTTACCAGTTTTGCTGAGAAGATGGCGGCCTTTGTTTACTAACAAGTTTGCATCCTAACAAGTTTGCATCATCGCTCAGCGGATAACTAAAAATGGCGGACTGACGTCATTTCGCAGACTTCAATTTCTAACTTTAACAACGCGTCTGATGTTCTTACGGCCGTAAATAAACAAACAAGATGGCTGTTATCAGCAAGCAAGAATGAGGTTAAGCGGACTGCACACACAGCAAGTGGGGATCTACAAGTGACTGCAAGTGGCTCATCGGTTACATCGGTGAGCGTTATAATTATGATTGTAAAAAATGTTGAATAATGGGAAAATTAAAGCTAAATCGTGGGATAAGCACCAGTTGTTTACGAACGTTAGGATAATAAATCCGCCATATTGCCGATCGCGCACCTGAAAATCGTATTTGAAGTCGAATTTCAACTAATTTCAACCTCCGGTTCGTTTATGCGGAGTGCGATAACCTAGTCTTTAGTGTAAAATAAGGTTTCAAACACAAAGGAGGAGTATCGTTTTGGGCCTTTTCCGGCCCCATCTGGATTTTACTGAATATTTCATATTTTCAAAGTACTATTCCTAGGTAGACTTTATGCCAAATATTTCACCGAACGGAGCCCATGCAAAGGTGCAACAACGCCTCAAACTCAGAATCTCGGCATCGAAAAATAGTTATTTTCGTCGACTTTTTCGGCTGTTATCACTCTTACAGCAGATGATTCCTACGTATTTTTTTGCGTACTTTCCGTTTCTGGCCTTTTTAAAGGCCTCCGATAAATTTTCAGGGGCCTTATGGCCCATTGTTGCCATTTTTGGACCATTTTTAGGGTTTTTTTCAATTGTACACACGCAGAAATCAATTCAAACTAAAAACTGTGTACGTTTTCGAAAAGAATGCAAAAAAATGAATAAAAAATGTTCAGTAAAACTTTTTCCTACGTTGCCAAATTTTCGAGAAAAATCGTCCCAAAGAGGCAAAAATTCGATAAATTGCCACGCTTAAGGTTCAAGAAAGTGGGGTACAACTTTTATATTGACGTACGTAACAGCTCTTACCTATATATACAACATATCAAACAATTATAGTTGTACCTGGATTCCCACGATGTGAAAATCGACCGGGATGTTGATTTTAGCGGCCTTTTTTAACTTGAAGGTAGCTCTTTTGAATGTTTTTCGACCTTAGTCACCCTCTATGGGTGTGTACTGAATGTATTTTTCTACGTACTTTTCATATCTGGCCATAAAAATGGATTCCTGTGAATTTTAAAAGGCCTAACGGTCCATTGTTGCCAATTTTCACCATTTTTAGGGGTTTTTTCAAGTTTACATGTATGAAACTTAATTTAATCTAAAAACCGTGTACTTTTTCGGAAAGGACGTAAAAAAATACATGAAATGCGGTTCGTAACTTTTTCCTACGTTGCCAAGTTTTCGAGAAATATCGTCCTGAAGCGCCAAAAATGCCAAAAAATTGGATTAATCATCACTCCGAAGGTTCTGGAAAGTGAATTTTAAGTTTTATTTCACTACAAATAACGTATCAAAAATGGAAAATTGCAATGCGTCTCACGGAATATGTAATGGCTCAGATGAACGTGACAAAATGGACCCTCAAGGTGCTTTTACCTTATCCTTCACTCCAGTTCACCTCTTTATTCCTGTAACCTCGAGATAACCCTTGGTTCTCAAGATGTTTGCTACAGGCCAGATACACCAAATAACAGAAACGCCGTGGGGAAAGTGTCCCACGATCCACATAAAAGTCATAATTCACTTTCTAGAACCTTCGGAGTGATGATTAATCCAATTTTTTGGCATTTTTGGCGCTTCTGGCAAAAATTGATATAATGTATCAATTTATAGGTATAAAGTTGTAAAAAATATTGCAATAATATAGCTATAAAGTAGCAATTCTCAGTCAACATTTGGACGATATTTCCCGATTTCGTCAGGTCAGATCGATAAAAAAAATCTATACTTAATAGCAATGTCATTGCTATTTGTGGCGGTGCCAAATGGTTTTAGGAAAATTGAGGATTTCATCAGTCTACCCTAATTTTTACAACGTTGCAGAATCCATTCGAAAATCCGATCTTGCCGGAATTGACAGGAAATTCATGATTCAATCATCCAGCACCCTTTAAATTCTTCTGTCCGAGGCGGGATTAGAACGCGCAACCTTCGGATTACTGCCGTGCGCCGCCTTTACCGTTTGAGCTAGCCAGGCTACCTGTCGGGTGCCTCACTTTTCACACATTATATAGCTCCGACATGAAACGAAACCCTTACCGGCGCATTTGCATGAAATAAAAAATTCAAAGAATTAAAAGTAACAAAAACAGAAACGAAATAAAAGGAGGAAAGAAAGGCATGAAAGAAGTAAAATTAAATTTCCCAGAACTTGGTTAAAAGCATAGACGATATTTATTTTGATTGACTGGAAATTCAAACCTTTTAAAAAAGCATTGAAATTTTTAAAGTTTCAGATTTATCGAGTTTGAGCTTTTTCGAGAAGACTAAATTGAGGAAAAATGGTTGTTTCATCAAATTGTTGCGATACATTCCTGCATTCATGCTAGAGATTTGAAAACAAGTTACGGAAAGGAACACGCAGGAGTTTTTCATCATACTTAATAGCAAGATTATTGCGATAATTTTTGCGCCTTGCAATTAGCAGGTTTGGCAACAGGTGACACAACCAATAATCGGAACTTATTGCTACATCATAGCAACAATATAGCAATAATTTCCGCGCCTTCAAATGAGGGAGTAGGCAATACGCATGGCAAATATAATATAGCAACATTCCTACGATTTTATGACCATCTATAGGTATCCTTGCTACTTGGGTGTAAGGGATTTGCGATTGGACCATTGATTCTTATGTAAAAGTTCTCGAGAAACACGATGGTGCCACTGGTTTTCTCTGAAATCATCTCCCAAGCTCAAAAAAAGCTCTCATAGTGAAACCAAAATGGAGGGGATATCCCACCCTACCCTGAGAGTCCACTTCTACGTCAAAACAAACTCTCCATGCAAAGATAGGGAGCAAATACATTAGCAGGGTTGCCGTGTTTTCAGTTTTGGAGTCCCCAAATAAAGTGGCAACCCTGCTAATGTATTTGCTCCGTATCTATGTATAGAGAGTTTGTTTTGATGTAGAGGTGGACTCTCAGAGTAGGGTGGGATATCCCCTCCATATTGGCCTCACTTTTAGAGCTTTTTTTGAGCTTAGGAGATGATTTCAGAGAAAACCAGAGGCACCATCGTGTTTCTCGCGAACTTTTACATAAGAATCAATGGTAAAATCGCAAATCCCTCACACATGCAACATCTCCATTGGTAAGTGAGTGATTTTGCTTTAGTCCCCTGACAACAGAATTGCGATCTCAAAATTGGAGGAAAATGACGTGTAGCTGAAAAAATGGAACCAATTGATGCGATATATCGCATGCCGTTCTGACACAAAATATGGCGTCCATCAAATCACCTTAACTTTAACAATGCGTCTCTTGTTAGAGTCCCATTAGGTATGGATCCTCTGCGCGTTACAGCCAGTCACAGCCTTTAACTGGCGGCTCAACCTGAAATGCTACAAAGCGACCACCTTTTTTTATCTGCTTAATGCAACCACGGCAGAGTTATATACAAGGTTGATCAACAGCAGGAGGTGCACATCCAGCCGTATTGACGCACTAGTGGGAACTCGATCAAGCGCGCAGTTCAAACTGCTTGTTTTGATATGCTACTTATGGTGTTCTGGAGTACCCGTCCACTGTCTTTTCCTCCCCACGGCCGAGAATTGAGCTTCAGGGCGACAATTTTCAGGGTTACTCTGCCCTCATATAATTCAATGAAAATGTTTTCAGTCCCCCGAAACCCCATGGGGGGGGGTGCCCTCATTTCTCGCATATTACATGAAGGAAGAGTATTATATTTTGACTTTGGATTCAAAGTTTATGGTCAAAAACGAGGACTTCATGCACCGTGCATGCACTCTTCCCCCAAATTACGGGGGTACGGGGGTTACGGGGTATCTTGGGCTTTCAATTGGAGACTGAAGGCGTCAAAATTATCAGATATTCAAAATCTAAAAGTCCTCTAAGAGAATAGATCAATACCTTCTCTTTGATTTGCCATGTAACTCCTGTTGACCCCAAATTATGGAGACCACGACACCCTGAAAATGTTGGGGCCTTGGAGAAAAGAAGCAATTTAAAATATAGTGATAATAATAAAGAAACATTCGAAAAATTCGCTCAAATGCGTTTAATAAATACATATTTTCATATTCTGTTGCAATAAATAATGTGCGCCTATAAATGGCATCAGTCTGCTTATTTGCACCTTGCACCAGACGCGTCAATTCAAAGTTCGCGCCACTAGAGTTCCTACTAGTACGTCATCAACATGGCGCAGAAATGGGCGATTGTACCAACCTCTTTTCAATTGCTTTTCAAACGAGTGTGTGACGTAAAGCTTGTCATTTCTCCCTCTACCGGTATTCGTTGTAAACATACATCATAGAGAAAAAAAAGGAGGTGTTTGCATCTTGAGGATTTGTACCCACCTACGTCATCAATGTAAACAAGGCGCTCGTTGAGGGTTATGTTGACGCTGTAAAAACGGACCATAATGTCCGATTTTTTTACTTAAATCAACTCTTTATTTAATTTCAAGCACTTTTTATAGAATGACTTTTTCCCTTAAATTACACCATTTCCAAGAAAATCGACAGGATAAAAACGTCGCTGTACCCAATGACGTCATCAAAGCTATAGATACTCTATGAAAAATTCCAAGATGCCCGAAATGCAAACACCTCCTTTTTTTTCTCTATGAACATACATTATTCAGTACGAGTACGACGAGAATTCCCTCCTCTCTTTGCTGACAACGACAACGACCATTTTGTTCCATTAATTGTTTTGGGCATTCGGTTTACGGCCGCCTTCTTCTCTTAAACTGAGTTTTGGCAGCTTTTAAGTTGTCTCGACGTACTACATCGCTTTATTTGTGTTCGGGCTTGTGAAAAATTTCGGTCGGATGTTACAATCTATTTCCTGTATGATGAACGGTCGTTGTTGGATTCGCTGGATTCTCTGTTCATGGCGTTCATTTCGTTTATCAGCGCAACGTCCAATTTCAGTTTCGTACTCCTCCGAAAATCCGCTGTGCCCGTGTACTCTGAAGCCGTGATATCTTCCTCATGTTAGTCATTTGCGTTCGATCTGATCTCTGCTTGAGTCAGAGGTTTAATACTGCTTACACCCCAGCATCGAGGAATGACACAATTGTTTTGTGAATCTTTATCAGTTGAGTGTAGTCCAGTTTACTTTTTAACTCGCTGACTTGGGTCTAATCAGTACAAATCCTTTTTCGTTCTTTCGTATCTTGTGACAAATGATACCCTTTTTATAGATTTTCAGCCAATCTTTTTAATTTGTGCCAGGCTATTGAACAATTTTTAACGAAGGAAGTACAGTACGTCTTAACAAATCGTCAGGAGTGGAATTCTAGCTGCAGGAAACCGGTTGTCATCTCTCCATCGCTTCCTGTTTCTCCATCTAGTTCTTGGATTTCCCCATCAACATTCCAGACAACCTCTCCTGATGATGGTGTGAACGTCAGGAAATCGGTAAGGAACGTTTAACCCTTTCCTGCTCCATGTGATCGGTAATTTGCAGGTAGAAATATTTTTTATGAAGAAAGTGAGAAAGCCTTGATAACCTGTTCATTCTGCCTCTTGTGATTTTCAAGCATTTTCTGTAATTGCATTCAAGTCAGTATCTGAAACCAGGGACAAGATCTATAAGATGTTGTACCGTTGAGATAGCCAATTGCAGCACAACCTCACGTAAGATCCTCTTATAATCAGATGATCCTTCTCCGAGAACCTTGATCCATCCCATGCCTGCTTCAAATGTGAGCGTTGTCTACGAGAATGGAGAGGCCGTAACTGCATTTCTGTGACGTCCTGCTAGTAGATGAAACTTGGCTGCGGTTTAACATGTGTTCGTATGGGAAAATGCCTGACGGGTGTTACTTTCATGCGGATATCTTCTTTGGGGTTGATCCGATGCAAAAATTCAATAGGACCTTTTCGAGAGAAGACGGAATGAGTCAGTTTGTTAAGCTCGGGAGGGATTTGCCTGCAATTAGTCGAATTTAACAGATTTCGGTACGAAACGAATGATGAGAACGTTTAAATTTCACAAAAAATTGTCTCCGCGGAGATATAACGCTCCCTTTTTAGGGGTCCTCGAAAACATGTTTGAACTAACCGCCATGAATCTACGCGTTACAGACAGGAAGATGGCGGCGATGAAGCCAACCTGCTTACTACTGCCTCGCTACCGTTATTGACATCACGATTTCTCGTTTGAGGTTAAGTAAGTTCTATTTGAATGTTTCATATCCTACATAAATATGTATCGCATTCTAATTGAAAAGCTTAAAGAATTAAGAACAATTGGCATAAATCTCAAACAAAGTAACCTACATAACCTCCAATTGACCAACAAAAACACACCGCCAACGTGCCGCCACCGTGTATTCTTCCACTACGCATTCCGCCGCCATATTGATCGTGACCTGTACATTCCAAACCTACGAGCGCCCAGTTCAAACGCTGTTTTAGGCCACCCTAATTTTTGGCACTTTCAAATAAACTTTTTTTCTGTTTGCAGTCATCAAAAAAAAAATTAGGATAAAAACTGTAAGCTTCGGTCACTTACTACTTTCCAATGACACAATAATAAAAACGACTTAACAGACTTATTTCACCTCCGAAAACTAACCAATCCATTCATGACATTGTCTGATAGTTGAGGAAATGGAAGTGTAACACCGAAAATCAATACTCCACTCAGATTCAAACGTTCCTCTCACGCAACTTCGCGATTGGTCCACGCTGCGACTGCCTCACTTATTTATGCATCGACGACCCGAAGTTGCTTGTTGTTTTCGGTAAATATCTACTAGCGTGAGGTCTTTATACTGACCAGTTACGGCCTCTCCATTCTCGTAGGCAACGATTTGAGGTAATGGCGATAGTTGATTAATAAACTGTTCGAAAGCTGAATCATTGCAATGTAAATATTTTTTCAAGGATTTCGACTTCTTTTAACAAGAAAGGCCCAGGTTCTGTTCAACAAAGGAAGCCAAAACCTACTGCAGGCAGACCTGTCAGATCTTGTGCATTTTTTGTTATGTCTCACATCTGATAAGTGCAATTCGTTGCAGGATACTATGCGAGGTTGCAGTTCGAGTAACTGCTAACAATTAAAACAATGAACGAAACTAAAAAAAAACTAAAAAACAGCGAACCGATTAAATCAACTAAGGCTAAAATCAACTTAAAAACTCAATTCGCTTACGTATCTAATTGCCACCAGACTAGTTTCGGGAGCTTTCATCCATCTCCCATCTTCAGTGGTTGTTGACTGATTCGGAATTCGTGGTCGCATTGCACGCATGTGGCTGAACTTTGGACTCCAATGCTCGGAACAGGATGTTGTCTAGTCCGTCCAAATCCTCATTTAAAACGTTCGCGCGGTGTTTAAAAATATATAACTTCTCTGCTGTGTTTAGTTGACTGACTTTGGTGACTGATTTGAGTAATTCAGGTTTTAATTCTATGCTGTGTTTTGCCTCCCAAAAATGCTTTGCCACTGCTGATTTTGTTGTTTCTTCGTTTTTTATGTTCCTAGCGTGCTCTTTAGCTCTTGTTTCGATATCTCTTTTCGTTTGTCCGATGTACACTTTCTCGCATCCAGAACAATTTATTTTATAAATTCCCGATTTTTTTAAAACGGGTGTCTCATCTTTTAAATTCCTCATTCCAATATTTCTAAGGTTGTATTTATTTTTGGGAGCTACGCATAGACCATAATTTTTAAAAACTTTTTTCAGGTCTGAATAGATTGCAGGATGATAGTTTACTGAAACCCATTTTCTTTCTTCACAATCCTTTTGAAGGGTGGTAATATTCCTGATTCGTTGTTTGTATTTTGCTGTGTTAATTATCCTATTGATTTCTGATGCCTCAAACCCATTTTTTTGCCCTATTTCAATAATTCTTGTCCTTTCCCTATTCAGTCTTTCTGGTGTCAAGGGGACTTTGATCATTCTTTGTATTAAACTTCTAAATGCGGCTAATTTGTGCTCACGTGGGTTATACGCTTTTTCATTGATGTATACGTCAACATGTGTGGGTTTTCGATATATATCGAATTCAAGCCTATTATTTACCCTGATTACTTTCAAATCTAAAAATGGGAGAGTCCCCTCTTTTTCTATTTCCACTGTGAAATTGACGGTATCTTCTATTGAATTCAGTAATTGTAAGCACTCGTCTACTTTATCTCTGTCTATAACGGCGAATATGTCGTCAACTTTTCGAGACCAATGTTTGAATAACGAGCTACTTTCCTTTACGTTCATCTCTAGGTCACTCATAAATAATTCGGATAAAATTGAAGATAAAGGGTTACCCATTGTAAGGCCGTCTTTTTGAATGTAAAACTTGTTGTTAAATTGGAAAAAGCGTTGTTCTGTGCATACTGTTATTATTTGCATGTATTCCTCAATATTTTTCTCACTAATGTTATTCTTTTCAAACCATTTCCTGCACAAAGTTTTTGTTTTTTCGAGGGGTATACTAGGGTAAAGCGACTCCACATCGAATGACACAAGGATGTCATTTTTGTCTAATCTGATATCCTTTACTTTTTCCACAAAATCGAAGGAGTTTTTTATACTTAGGGAATCGAAACTTTCAAACAAATTTAATCTTTTATTCATCCATTTAGCTAATTTATATGCGGGTGAGTTCACGCTGCTCACAATTGGTCTCATTTTATCTCCGGGTTTGTGGATCTTGGGCAAAGTATATAATTTTGGAATCTTTGGGTTGTTAATTTTTAGATGCTTCTTTTCACTATCTGCTATTATGTTATTACAGGCTTTAAGACAATCATTTACTTGTTTTTTGTACTTGTTCAAGGGGTCTTTCTTTAGTAATTTGAATGCTTCATCATTGAGCATATTTTCAGTTCTTCTAATGTAGTTATCTTTGTCAAGGATGACTACTGTGTTACCTTTATCAGCTTTTGTTATCACTAGATTTTTTTGCTCCAATTTTTTGACTAATTTGCAATGTTGTTTACTCCTTTTGGATTGATGTTTGTTTACTTTCTGGATAATTGGTAGGCACTCATTTTTGAAACTATTTTTTAAATTATATTGCAGCCTGTTGGATGCATTGTCAATATCTAAAATATAGTCTTCTATGTTTTGACAGTAACTAAAACAAGATTTAATGCCTTGGTTAAGGAGGGCTTTTTCTTCAGACGATAACTCATAACCTGAGAGATTTTTGAAGTTTTCCTCTCTAGTTTTAATTACCAATTTCTTGTTTGGTTTTAGGCACATGAATTTCTTTTTTAATGTTGCTTTCTTTATGAAAAAGCTTCTGTTAATGTCATCGTATAAACATTTTTCTACCGCATTCCACCAATTTCCATTCATGCGTTTTGTCAAAAATAAATGGAGGTTGTATGCTTCTAACTCTAATCTCGTTCTTTTAGAATAGTGATTGCTAATTTCCAATTGAATAGCTTTTTGTTTCAATTTAATTTTCGTAATATCAGATTGGGCTTTGTTTTTAATGTGTTTGTCTACAAATTTTGGGAACACTTTTTTCTGAAGGCAAAGTTTTAAGAAGTGGATGTCACCTGATATATTCTTTATCTGTTTCTTCAGTCGAAAATATTTCCTAATGTCAGCCATTGTAAAATCCGGGTACATTTTTCCACGAACACTTTCTCTTATCACACCGAACACGTTTGTTACATTTCCGAAATCCGTCAACATTTTGTTTCACGATATTGAATATTTACGATTAAAACAATGAACGAAACTAAAAAACAGCGAACCGATTAAAAAATCGGGAATTTATAAAATAAATTGTTCTGGATGCGAGAAAGTGTACATCGGACAAACGAAAAGAGATATCGAAACAAGAGCTAAAGAGCACGCTAGGAACATAAAAAACGAAGAAACAACAAAATCAGCAGTGGCAAAGCATTTTTGGGAGGCAAAACACAGCATAGAATTAAAACCTGAATTACTCAAATCAGTCACCAAAGTCAGTCAACTAAACACAGCAGAGAAGTTATATATTTTTAAACACCGCGCGAACGTTTTAAATGAGGATTTGGACGGACTAGACAACATCCTGTTCCGAGCATTGGAGTCCAAAGTTCAGCCACATGCGTGCAATGCGACCACGAATTCCGAATCAGTCAACAACCACTGAAGATGGGAGATGGATGAAAGCTCCCGAAACTAGTCTGGTGGCAATTAGATACGTAAGCGAATTGAGTTTTTAAGTTGATTTTAGCCTTAGTTGAACTGCTAACAAAATTTTCACATTGGTTCTTTCAGGCGTTCAGGGTAGTACTCATTCTTGCGGAAGCTAATTACTAGATGAAAAAGTTAGAGTAAGCTGTGAAATCAACAGTAGCTTACAATCATGGTATTGTCTGATAAGTCATTTTATCACAATGTTAGTCCGGTTGATTGTTTCCAATACCAATGAAAACGGAATACTTCTACCTGAAGTTGCAGAACTCATGTGAGAGCCTGTGAGTGCACTGCACTGTGAATTTTTACACTAGGCCGCACGGTACGAGATGGGAAAGTGATTTTTAAAGTTCTTTAAGACGAATGGTGCAAAAATCATATCATGAATGTTTCGGGGAACTGGAACATAAGTACCCTTTAATATGCCCTCCAAACTGCTTTTGCAACGAGCAATTCAATACCTTCATATGTAGTTAACTACTTCCCCCCTCCCCTCACCATTACCTTGAAGCAACAGTTGCATTTGAATATGGTGAAAGTGTTTATTTTCTTCAAAGAAGTGTGTAGTTAAAAGTCTAAAAAATCCATTTCTAGCATTAATTTTATGAAAAATTACTTAGGGGTGAAGATTTTTTAAAATACCTTTATTTTGACAGCTTTTCCTCTTGGTCTCCAGTAGTCCCTATCAGGCCCCACTTCCACCATTGGAATTTATTTTTCTCCTTGTAGATAAAGATTCAGCCGCCAAAATTTAGTGCATTCCGCGCTTTCAGACTTGGAGTATAAGGGAAAACTCCTCTCCTGTCACATTTCACTTCTAGAAGTCAATAATAGCTTTTTTTTAGGTTTTCCCCTGAAGAGCGGGTTAAAGCTACGGCCTGATGTTTTCTAATCTCACACCTGATCATCAGGTATTTTCCTCTAGGAGGCATTGTTATTTCACTTGTGATCTAATGGGACTGCAAATTGAAAGTGAAAAATGGAACAGTTAGGCACACCAGTGTACAGGAGGGAGGCCAGTTCTGCATTATTTTCCTTGAAAAACTGTTATAAATACATTCATAAGGAGACATCCTAACAGCTTGAGAAGCAGGAATCTCAAGAGCGCAGTCATAGTTTTTGGACAGTTTCCCTGTGATATGTCTGTGTTTGGACTTGTGCGAAAGACCCCCCAATCATGTGTTACAGACATGATATGAAATCCTATAAACACTGTTGAATTTGTATTTTGTTTCCTTAAACCACACAATGCTCCGATGATCATAGAGGTAGCTATGGAGGCTTATTTCTAAAATCACCGGTTACTTCCAGGCTTTCTGTCATGTGTTTGTGGGAGGGGGGGGGGGGCCCGATGTCCCAGCTTGGCAGTTAATATTGGTAGCTTAAACATTTTTTTAAGTATTTAAGAACGCTTCAAAGTAAACACTTCTTAAATAATAAAACCCTTTAGATAGTATTCCCGCTCCTGTTGTGGTTTAAACACTTTACATCGCACTTAACCACCAGTAATGGGTTTTTTTTGCAGAATCTCGTTCTAGAAGGTATATAGAATTTATTTTTTCATTTATTAAAAATTCCATATCATATGAAATGATCCTGAGGTTTAGTAATTTTTTTTTGCCAACAAATTCCTCAAAAGCCTCTTGTGCACTAGCTTCTCCAAAAATTTGAAAAATATTGACAAGAATCATGATACTAATGAGTCCATAATTAGGGAACAATGACTGTTGCCTTTTTTTCCTTAAATGGTATGAGTTTGCTGGTTTAAAAATGCATTTGGAAAAATACCACGCATCAAAATTATGTTAAAAAGAATAGCCAAAACATATGCCACTTTTTCAATAACTGATGTAACAATTGCAGAAGGTATATCATCCGCCCCTGTGGATTTTTTGTTGGGCAAATTTCGATTCGTTCGGCAATTTCTTCAGCATTTGTAAGTACTCTCAAGATGTGTTGAAGGAGCCCTATACTCACACAGATCCTCCGCACTCACCTCACTAGATTTCCCTGCTGCCATTAAAAGCGTTTTTATGAAGAAGTTATTGAATTCACATGCAATAGTTTCTCTACTTGACCAGTACCTGTATTTCTCAATTTTAGTACCATCGATTTCCCAATTCTGAAATTCCTAGGTTTGGTTTACATTTACCCAGTTGGTCATTTAGAATTTTCTAAGTTTTCTTACATTTGTTGTATAATTAAGTAATTTTATCCTGATACAATTTTTTCTTGAAATTCTTGGCATCCCTCACGATGCTTTTAAATTCTTTGACTTGGTCTTTAAAGTAACTAGGACCATTTTGCTCTGTTTGAGTAGTTGAATATTCTCATCATGCTTCAACACTGTTTCTTGGTTGATCAAGCTGTTGCCTTTCTTTTCATTTGCTGATATTCTCCACTGAACCAATGAACAGCTGTTTAAGTTGAAATTTTCTCATTTATTGTTCGTCAATTCTCAGTTGATTTAAGTACAAATGTAAGTATTGCTTAAGTTCAAGTATTTCTCTGTTTAATCATACAGAGAAGCCGGGTGGAGGCAATGCTAGAGAAAGCTCGTCTACAACCACAAAGAGTATGTCCTGCTGATCCTTTGCAGTTTGCGGAAAGTTGGAAGATTCCAATCTACTCTGTTGATGCAGTAAGTTTCGTAGCTAGAGTCATTTCATCAGAAAAAATAAAATTCTTTGACCTGATCCCATCTTTTCATTGAAATTCGGGCAACTTATTTTCTGCATTAGAAAGATTTGGTCATTTTCTTACTTTAGCATGCTCTGATCAAACTTCAATGAATTTTTAAAATGGAAAATTTTTCCCCACATTCTACGTGGTCAGTATCTTTGGAAGACCAAATTATTCAAACTATTCATTCCAAAACGATTAATTCCAATGAAAATTTTGGACATTTTATCTTTATAATTGGTTTTGCGATCATTCAGTCACCCAATTGAAAGGGGGTTATTCAAAATCGGCGATTTCACCCAACGCTTGGATTTTGCCCGGAGTTGGATATGTTGTTCCCCATCACAAGACACGCCTTTTTCCGGCATTGGCAAGTTCACCCGAAATTTCTCCCGCGCGCTACAGCGTTTCCAAGTTGAAAACAGGCAAATTCCGTAAGTGGCATTAAAATTGAGCTATGAAGTTGCGGTTTTAACGAAAATTCTCTAAAAATTACGCACGGGGCAACTCGCGGGGCACTCTCGCGCCCCGCGACGCCTAACCGCCATAGTCCCTTGTCCACCCACAGGTCCTCAGTAATTTGGAGCGCCCTTGATCCTTTTTAAGCCCCTTATTGCCCTTTCCTGGGCATCTTCTTCAGTTTGGTGTTGTTACTTTTTTCTATTAAATTCCATTTTCTCAGAATTATAAAATAAAATTGTATACTAAATATAGGGCGATGAATAATAACGGTCAAATACCGCCATAATTCAACAATTGTACGTAATTTTGGCAATATTGCAATGCGTCTTGTCTTGTTTTAATGAAGTCAGTCTGAGGAGTACATTTTATTCATTAATTTTTAGCAGAAAATTTTCCATTATTATTATTCATTATTAATATTCCATTATTGTTTCAAAATGTGGTTTATTGACACGATTCGATAAAACTCACTATTTTATGAATTTTTCCTCTCTGAACTAAATACCCTAGTAATTAGTATATATCTAAGTTGAAAATTAAATTATTCTACAGAAGTGTATTATTTTGCAAGAGAGATACATTTATAAAATTTAAAAATGAGAGGTGAACAAAGAATATAGGACAATAATATCGAAAAAACCAGCGAAAATTAAAGTATTTTGTTTAAGCTTGGCAACATTGGAATATGTTCGATTTTATTTTATTGTTCAATTTTATTAAATTCTGCTCATGTTGTTCATTAGTGTAGTCAAGAAACATTCTCTTAATTGGAAAACAAGAAACTTACGACAAAAACCGCAAAAAGCGCCAATTTTGGTGTCTTTTTTCCAGTTTGCTGCTTGTCGCGCGTTTAATTTTACCGTGAGCAGAAAGAATTTGACTCAGCTTGTAGATAGTTTAACGAGTTTTAACTGTGGAAATAACCAATTTTGTCGTCTGATCAACTCCTGGCAAGTCACAGGCTATAATCCGCCAAAAAGGCCGATTTTAAGCAATTTTTGCCAAATTTGGCAACATCTTGGTGACAATTTTTTATGAATTGGTCAAATTCGGATTCAGCGCCAAAAATTACATAGGAAACCATGGAATTAATGCTACCCGGTGTTTTTGGAGGCTAAAATTTCTATCCGCCCGGACTCAAAAAGCGTCGTCGCTCTATAAAGCTGTTCACAAAAATGATGATATCTCGCGAACCAAAAGTTTCCCAGCTAGCTATAATATATTGATGGATGCGGAATCAAACGAACTATCGATTAGACAACTTTTTATTCAAATTTGAAGATAGCTTTTTTGGGTATTTGCGGATATGTAACATTTGTCGAATTTAAAAATCGGAAACTTGGCAATAATGCATGTTAAAATTAATGCGACATTAAAAACATGGTCATTTCCTAAAAGTGCGTTAGAGAATTTTTAGAGAATTTTCGTTAAAACTGCGACTTCATAGCTCAATTTTAATGCCACTTACGGAATTTGCCTGTTTTCAACTTGGCAACGCTGTAGCGCGCGGGAAAAATTTCGGGTGAACTTGCCAATGCCGGAAAAAGGCGCGTCTTGTGATAGGGAATAACATATCCAACTCCGGGCAAAATCCAAGCGATGGGTAAAATCGCCGATTTTGAATAACCCTCTTTCAGACAGACTTATTTGCATTATTATAGGCATAGTATTCTACATGAACTTAAAATTTCATCAATACCACACCAGTCAAATTTTGGCAAAGAAGGGGTATCGATAAGGGCCTTTCCCCCCCCCCCCTTCTTAGAATCTGGAAATTTATGTGGGTTTTCCAAGTTGACTCAATGTAGTTTATGAAAATAATCAAGATTTGGTGATGAAATAATCATAGGCCACTGGATACGTGTAAACCGCTGCCTGAACATACATCTGCAGGCGCATTTTTGCGACTAATGTGTATTTCTCTTTTTGACACTGAGCACATCGTCCAATTAAAACAAGCTTTTAATATGTTGTCAAGGAGGTTTTAGGACACATTTTAACCGTGGTTTGGTTTTAGTTGACGATGTGCTTATAGTTAAGAAAAAACTTTTTCAAAAGTCGACTTTTAAGGGACATCCTCGAAAATCTTTGGGAAACACGTGGTTAAGGTTTTTTTTGGCCACAATTGAAGAAAATCTCCTTGTAAGAGTCGAAGAAGGCTTGGTAACTGCCCTCATTAATGTACGTAGCGTGCATACAGTTGGAGAGACAAGTTTACCTGAGATTTTTGGGGATTTCCCCTATAAGTCGGTTTTTGAAAAAGTGTTTTTTAACTATGAGCACACCATCTTTCTAAAACCAAACCAAGGTTAAAATGTGTCCTGAAGCTTCCTTGATAACATATTAAAAGCTCGTGCTAGTTAGACGATGTGCTCGGCGTCGAAAAAGCCTCGGAGTGATAGAAAACACGCATTTTTCGCTAAAATGCGCCTGCAAACGTATGTTCAGGCAACCGTTTAACACGTATCCAGTCAGAGTGTCTACCGGTCCCCAATGTCCCCGTTTATCCCCAATTTGGAAAGGTGTCCCCGGTATCCCCGAAGGTCCCCAAAAAATGACAAAAATCGTCCTTAACTCCGGCATTTTCAAGTTTTCCCGCCAGCCGCGGCGGCGCGGTATAACCAGGAATAAAAAAAACTGAAGTGTTGCTTGGTTTTTCGTATGTTTTCATCGGTTCAACATGATTTGGAAAATTAGTCACATAAAATACGCCTTCTAATGCCCTAACTAGCTTCTTTTCTCTTACTATTTCGGGGAAAAAAGTCACGGATTTTCTTGAAAAAACTCCTCTAAAAGTCCGCGAAAGTTCCCAATTTTGAATTTTTATAACTGGTAGACACCTGTAGTGGCCTATGGACCAAATCATGATTATTTCCATAAACTATAATGAGTCAACTTGGAAAACCCGCTTAAATTTCCAGATCATTGGGGGGGGGGAGCAAAAAAGGCCCTTATCGATACCCCTCCTTTTTTTAAATTTATGAAATCCCATGGTCTTTAATCATCACCAATGTGACTTGATTTGGTACACTGGCAGATCTTGAAAAATCAGCAAAAAAGACATCTAAATCTAACAATTTTAAGTAGATCCTTCCACGGTGCGCTTGAACTCACTTATTAACAACTTTTAATGTACATCAAAAATTCAAGTTGGAGGTTGTAGTGGGGACTTCCCTGATGGGTTTTTGGGCAATTTCGAAATTGGTTGTCGGAGCCTTTGGAAAAATAATCGTATTTTTGTGGTTTTTCAGGGGTAAAATAGCATAATTGGCCTTGTGGCGACACATTAAACTTCCTCTCCCTCAACCTTGCCTAGACCGATCTGAATTTTTAGTATGTTCTCACCTGGTATAAGATGTGACTTTCCTAAAATTTTCATGCCCATACAAAATTGTATGCCTCTGCGACAGCGTTGCCAAGTTGCGGACTCCAAATTATTGAATTTGATGATAGAAGTAAGGTCTGTAAGTGTGATTTTCATTCAAAATCAAAAATTCAAGTTGGAAGTTGTAGTGGGGACTTCCCTGATGGGTTTTTGGGCTCTTCCGAAATCGGTTGTTGGAGCTCTCCGAAAAAAAATCGCATTTTTGTGGGTTTTTAGTGGTAAAACAGCAGACTGGGCTTGGGGCAACAAATTGAACCTCTTCTCCCTCATCCTTGCCGCGACCGATCTGAATTTTTAGTATGTAATAACCTGGTATTAGATGTAACTTTCCTAAAAAATTTCATGCCTGTACAAAATTTGTTGCCCCCCATGGTAGAGTTGCCAAGTTGCAGACTCCAAAATATCAAATTTGATGATAAAATGAAGGGTTCGAGGGGTGATTTCCTCCAAATTTTGTGAGAAATGTGCAATCTGAGAGTTTCCGATTAGAGAAAACATATTTGAGCAATTTAGAATTGCGGTGTTGCCAGCTTTACGATTTAAAATTTATCAAATTGATTCGAATCGCGTTGCAACCTCAAGCACTGGATTTTTATTTCTTTCAGAATTGGTTATTACGATTCTTCTGTACTCTATGCAATTAGGTACCATGAAAATTATGTCATTACTTACTTGATGGTTGCAGTTAACATAACAAGTTAGGCTGGATGAAGCGATGAGTCTGGGAACAACGAGCGGTTAGGATTGACAGAAAGTTCTCCTTATATGACACAAAATTACGAAACATTTTTAATTTCGTTGTCTACTCTACTTTTGTTATTAGGGAATTTGTATGCAATAAATCCCAAAATTATTGTGATCTTTTCCAAATTTTTTTATTCTTTGAATTCTTGAAGATAATTTTCTTTACAGTAAGAAGTCTTCTGGATTCGAACTATCCAATCCGCTGTGAGAGCAGGTCGAATTCAGGGAAGTTCAAACGTTTCTTGAATTGTCAATATCCACTCATTTTATTTCTATGCCAATTTTTATGTCTTAGGAAAAATGTAAGGGCAAAATTTTTGATGGAATTTTCAAACTATTGACTACAACTGGGATAAGGTTTGGGGGGG